AGATGCTGTCTAGGTTTGTCATTGCTTTTCTACCAAGAAGCAGGCGTCTTTTAATTTCATGGCTGCTGTCACCATCTGCGGTGATCATGGAGCCCAAGAAAGTAAAATCTCTCACTGCCTCCATTTCTTCCCCTTCTATTTGCCAGGAGGTGATGGGACTGGTGGCCATTATATTATATTTATATGCCACCTTTTCCTCTAAGGAGCTCAAGCTGGTGTACACGATTCTCTCTCTCTCCCCCCCATGCATTTTATCCTCACAACAACGCTATGAGGTAGGCTGAGGGACAATAATTGGCCCATGGTCACCCAGTGAGCTTCGTGGCTGAGTGGGGATTCAAATCCTGGTATCCAAGGTCCTAGTTCAACACTCTAAACTTCACTGCACCGTTTTCGGCACCTGCTAGAGACATTCTTGTTTAGACCAGCCTACCCAGATACTTAAAGATTGAGGTGGTTTTTAAAAATCTGCTTCACTATTTTAACTTTTCTATGTTTTATAGTATGATTGTGATTATTTTCTTGATTTTCTTGTTTTATCTTTTTGTAACCTGCTTTGAGGAGGGTTCTTTAAAAAATAATGAAGGTGTGCATAAATTTTACGAAATAAATAAATTAGTAGAGGCAGTAGAGAGGCTATTTCTGCTTTGTAGGGAGTGGAGAATGGGATGGGGCAGATAAAGAGCACAGGAGTTTGTAGGAAACAGTGGGGAGGGAGTCATTGTTTTCAATTCTACCTGATGGTGAGCTTTAGTACCAAGAACAGAGACCAAGAGTAGCTTTAAGCCTGGTCATTTGGCATACATTCACACTTTTTACCAGCTTCTCTTTCAGATCCTCCCTTATAAGAGCTTCCTTGTCAGCACATGGTAAATGCGTTTTTGTTTCTGTTTTTTTATATATATATAAAGCTGATCATTCGGTTATCATCCCTGTTAGCAACTGCATATTTTGATAGGTTTTGGTAGCTGTTGAAATGTTTATTCTAATGCTATATATATATATATGATGTGAATCTTTCAAGAAAGCTCTGGGTAATTTTGCAGATTAAGTGCCCAAACACAGCATTTGAGTTTAGTGAGGTTAGCTAAAACATTAATATATTCTGAAAGATCCTAGGCTTTATCCATTAGTGACTGCAATTTTTGACGCAGAAGTAAAGGCAATTTGTTTTCTGTAATTTTCCTTTCCTTGGGTAGTTTTTCTCCCCATTGGTTTCCAGATATGCTATAGGGCTCTTCATAGCAAAAGCTACTTGCTAGCCCTGCGCTGGTGCTAATGCCTTTGCCGGCTGTGTCTCCTTGGTAGCCATACAGAGAGCATTAATCAAAAAAATGTGGCCGGGATTCTCAGTTGTAAGGAAGAGCCATAGACATATACAGCTATCTACGACTGTAAGTACCTTACAACACTATTGGGCAGGATCCCAGCCAAGTCAGAATCCAATGGGCCCAGAGTAGCAGTGCCAGCTCTACTATTGGGCAGAGTGAAGGCTTTAACATAGGGATTTTCCATGGAGATATTCAAAGCTCTCTGATCTTCTAACTGGGTTAATGGTTAACTGAGAATGTTCTCTGTCCAACATGTGAGTGTTTAACTTTAGATCACATGGGAAGCTATTGAATTGCAAATCACTGTCTTGGGGAGTTGGTCTTTGGTCTTTCGTTCCCAGCCAGAGTGGGAGTAAGAATTATGGCTCTCTGGGAGCAGCATAACCTTAGGCAGGATGCAGGCCAATGTCAGATGGAGTGGGAGAGAGAAACAGTTTTGATTTCTAAAAGGAGTAAAGTTATTTTTTAAGATGCCGAGCCTGTGCTGGACATGAACAAGATATTGCACAACTGTTTGGGTGCATCATTTGTTGCTGTTTTGTTGTTTTGAAGAAAGTTCTGCAAGTAAAGCTTTGAATCCAGCTTATTGGTCTGGACAATGTTTTATTCCAGGAGTCGGTTTTTGTGCATCCAGTTCCTTCAAGCTGCACAATATTAACATGTTCCATAATGCACACACACACACACCCCAGGCAGGGATTTCATTCTGGGGCCCTGCACGCATAAGTGAAAATTGCATAAGTGGGGAGAACCCTCTAAAAAGCTTCTAAATGCCCTTTCCCCCTGCTATCCCACTTTCTCTCCTGTTCTCTCTCCAAACAACTCTCTCTTCAACTAGAACTGAAGCTCTGGGGCCAGCAGGAGGCTGGGAGACACGCGAAAAAGCAGCAGCTGCTGCTGCTGCTGTACTACCACACAAGCCAGCTGTTAGGCAGGGAGGCTGAGCAGCCTAAACAAAGCCCTGCTGTGCCTCCAGTCTCTTTAGGGCTTCCTCTGCCCTCACTGAAAACCTCTTCAGACTCCAGGGAGGGTTTCCTTGTGAGCCTCAAGGACTCTCCAGCTCTTTCCTGCCATTTTCTGGCTTCAATCTGTTTGTTTGTTTGTTTGTTTGTTTGTTTGTTTGTTTGTTTGTTTCCCAGCACTGCAGGTATGCGCAGTCACGTGCCAGTTGATCATACGTAAGTGGGAGGAAGCCTATCTGCTTCTGTATGTGTGTGGGGAATATTTTGAGCCCGTATTGTTGAGCAGGTACGTCTCTATTCTGGGTAGACATAATCAGAAGTCACCTTGTACTTAATATATCTCACACTCCTAAAGCTGTATGAGTGTCAAAGAATTATTGGAAACATTAGTGTGCTAATAATTAACACCAAGGTCATTTACTGCAGAGTAATCCAATAAACTAAGTGCCTTCACAGTTTGCATGGGTTAAATCAAGTACATTTTATCGCAGACAGAAATGTGTCCACTGGGGGCTTATTCTCAACTCATCTTTCAAGTTTTATACGAAAATGTGAAGGGAATTGTCATTTATTTATGTAATCTCTTTTGTAACATATAACGTGTTTCATTTATGTTGAGCTGCTAATATATGTGGTTACTATGACAACAGCATGTGTTCAGCTAAGTGATAGATGTTTGTGTGTGTGTATTCTGTCTCCAGATCTTGATATTTTCTCCAGTGCTGTTTTAAAAATGTCTGCTCCAAAGCAAGTCATTCAAAAGTGAGTTTCATGAAGTTTATTCCCAATTAAGTAGGTATAATATTTCAGCCATAAGCACTGAAAACACACATGGAGGGAAAATGCAATAGCATAGCACTTGTAAATACATATGTTTGTTGTTGTTGTTTAGTCATTTAGTCGTGTCCGACTCTTCGTGACCTCATGGACCAGAGCACGCCAGGCACTCCTGTCTTCCACTGCCTCCTGCAGTTTGGTCAAACTTTGAGAACACTGTCCAACCATCTCGCCCTCTGTCATCCCCTTCTCCTTGTGTCCTCAATCTTTCCCAACACCAGGGTCTTTTCCAGGGAGTCTTCTCATATGTTTATGTACTAAACATATGTTTATGTACTAAACATATGTTTATGTACTAAACATATGTTTATGTACTAAACATATGTACTAAACATATGTTCACTACATTATGAAAACATCAGTCAGCCAACAAGCCACTTGTTGTTTAGTCTTTTAGTCGTGTCCGACTCTTCTTGACCCCATGGACCAGAGCACGCCAGGCACTTCTGTCTTCCACTGCCTCCCACTTAGACCAGAGGTTTTCAACCTTTTTGAGTCCACGGCTCCCTTCAGCAACTTCATTCTTTCTGCGGCTCCCCTTTGGCACCAGGCACTCAGCTCTCAGGCAGACATTGCATACAGCAAACACAAGAAAGGCCAACATGGAGCCTGCCTGCCTGCCAGCCTGGCCTCCCACTTGTCTGTCCATTTGAAACAGCAAGGGCTGGTGCACTGCCTGGCTGGGCTCGGAGCCCCTTGCCTGCAGAGCTGGCAACCTCTCACCCATTTTTGAACACCCTCCCTTATGGAGAGTTCCCTTAGCCCCCTCTCCTCTCCCATCTCCTTGGGAGTCCTCTGGGCACCTGCAGCAGCAATTGCCACCCCTCTGAACTGCCCCCTTGCCCCAAAGAGAGGTGCCTTCTTGCACTGCTCCACAGCAGCCTGAGAAGAAGATGCCCCCAGCCTTAGTGGCCCAACGGGGACTGGCCAAAAGTGAATGTGAAGCCAGTACCTTACCTTGGGTGGCAGCAGTGGCAGCAGTGGGCACTGCCTGGCCTGCATGGTGGAAAGGCTCCCCTTCAGCCCTGGGCACACAGCTGCCAGCCAGCCCTTGCACACAGCAAGCACAAAAAAGGCCAGCACAGTGCCTGCCTGCCTGCCCAGCCTCCCACTTGTCTGTCCATTCCCATCAGCAAGGGCTGGCAGACTGGCTGGCTGGGCACCCATGCCTGCTTGCTTGCTTACTCCGATGTCATCTCAGCTTCTGGAAACCAGCACCCCCTGCCCAGCCCCAGAAGCACCATTCGCTTGGGGAGCTTGTAAGAGCCGCAGCAACAAACAGCCCCACAAGCCTTTGGGAGACATGGACACGAGAGGGCATCGGAGGGGGGAGGGAAGGAAAGATGGACAGAGCTCAATGTGGCCTGTGGCACACCTGGCTATTATTCAAGGCACCGCAGGGTGCCACGGCACACTGGTTGAGAACCACTGACTTAGACTTAAACTTTTGCATGAGTGAACTAAAACTGCCCAGTAGTAGCAATGCTTGATGAATTTGAATGTGGCAAGTTTCAACATGAACCAACCTGACCTGGAGCCTCAGGATTAATGTGCAACTCAAAACATAGGTTAAACACCAGCTTTCGTACTTCCTGAATGTTCTTGGCTCAATAAAATGTGTCAAAATGCATGCACATTCCTGCATTGCAGGGGATTGGACTAGATGACTCTTGCAGTCCCTTTCAACTCCACAGTTCTA